GTTTCATTGTACGTTTTTTTTTGAAAACCAGCTTTGTTTCTCTGTGTATGCTTTTTGAGCATACACAGAGAAACAAAGGTAAGTAACTGTGTTTTGAGCATAACTTAACTGTGTTTTGAGCATACACAGTTAAAGGTATATATGATTTTTGATTTTTTTTGTCATACTTCTCGATTCAGGTTTTTAAATGTAATGTAATCATTATAACCCTATATTACATATATATTCAGGATTTTGAATATAATACATAATTTCACAGCTATGCACTTCATTTATGTAATGCATTTTCATTGTAGATGGAAGGTAGCGTAATCTCTAAATAAGTAAAAAAGCTGAATTTCCTAAATAAACTACAATGCTTTGGCATTTTTTTAATATGTGTTTTTTTTCTATCGATTCCTTTATATAATCTTCTTACTTTCTAAACTTTTAAAGTAAAGGAAGAAAATGCTTCTTAATATTTCGACATTATTTTGTTTTACTTTACTATTAAATTTTTTTTTATCACTATTTATAAATAATGCTTAAAAGTTCGTAGAATTGTCATTGTATTACAGTAAAAGAAAAAGAAACTTTTAATATATTTATAAATAATTTAATTGTTTCTTTTGTGCAAAATAGTTAAAAAAAAAACTTTTTTTTCTTCCTTGATATGAAGTGATAGATATTTTCAGATTTGTCTCTTTCATCATTTTCATGCCTGCGTTATGCATTTATTAAATAGAAGATAATCTAAAAACCAAACCTCTAGGATTTTTTTCTTTAACTTTTCGTAAATATCTTTAATGATTACTATCAAATGAAACTTTCCTAGTTCATTATCATTACTCAATTATTTTAGGCTGATTAAGGGGCTGATTATACAATAGTGTGTTAAATAGCGTTAAAAGGAGGTAATTCGTTAAAACCTTATAAAACCTTAATAAAACCTTGATAAAGCCTCAAATCTATTTATATTTTGCATTTCTTATCACAACCGTTTTTTGAGAAGGTGTAATTAATAAATATCAAAACTGGATCACAAATCGGGTTCAAAATTCAGAAAACAATACGTATTTTATGCTTCGAAAAGACTAGACTTTTTTTTTTCCTTCCTATTTTTAAAACAGAGTAATAAAATATGAATTTTTCATAGCTAACGTAGGGATGCTGAAAAATCAGCGCTCTTGCATTAAAAAAAAAATCATAATCGGTTATTAATTTCCGTCCGAAATTTCAGGCCCTGCTGATTTATGCGATTTTAATGACTTTTAGAATGGCTACGAACGAAAAAAAAAAATATTTTGCGTAACAACTGAAAAATCTAATTTGAGTAAAAAAAATCCTCGATTCGTGTAATTGATTCTCACGTTCGACTCAGTTTAAAATACGCTTTTTGTTCGAATAATGCTTGGAACTTATGAAATAAGCGATTGTTTCGCCGCTTATTTTAATGTTAACGTTCCAAATGAATCGCACCCGAGCATAATTAGTTTCAGACATATTTTGTGTTTTAATAGATGGTTCTTTTCTTCTTTTAGAATTTTATTTTGTCGTGGCAATAATTTTGTTTTGGAAAATATTGCGATTCATTACAGTTAATTAAACGATATAGAGTTTTTCTCGTTAAAAAAAATCAGCACGGTGGAATTTTTTTTTTATTAGCTTTTAGCATAACCGGAGTAGTTAATATGAAACAAAATGGTTTTATTAAAAAGCTGAAATAGTTTCTATGAAATCAATTATTAAAATCTTTGACTATGTTTTATTATATTTTAAGGAAATAACTGTAAAAAAAAGATGGTTCATTAAGTTTATTTTTACTTATGTTTTCTTACGTAGCTTTCGTGTTTATAACGGCGGAATCTTACTGTCAAATTTCGACCTCTTTCTGACTAGCTAGAGTATTTATATTTTCTCACCAAATGACTTCGATGCGCTGAATATTTGTTATTAGAATTATCATTAGTTTTTTTTCATGTGTTGTATGCGTTTTTACGAGCTTTTAAAATGTATTTCTGTGCATTATTTATACTTTTTTAGGTTTTACAATTTTTCATATTTTCCGTAAACTGTTCAATGTTTTTTTATGCTTTTTTTCATATTTTTCATATGTTATTTAGTGCTTTCATACGTTTAATCATGCCACCATTGTTTCCCCCCCCCTGTTTTACATGAATTTTTAATGTTTCTCATATTTATAAGGGTTTTTTAATGGTTTTCATGTTTTATGTAGACTTAATGTTTTTAATGACTTTCGTTCTTTTCTTTATGTTTTTTTTTGTTTCGCCTAATTTTTCGTTTCTCGTAATTCTTTTTTTCTCACGTGTTGTAAATTTAATACAACAAACTTAATATGTTAATGGAACGTGTTTACGAGTATCACATAATACCCTAGCTATATATATTTTATTTCTGTGTTAAAGTTTGTCCGATAATTTTCTACGTTTACTGTTTTGAAATTGCATTAATTTAAACTAACTACTTAATATGTTAATGGAACGTGTTTACGAGTATCACATAATACCCTAGCTATATATATTTTATTTCTGTGTTAAAGTTTGTCCGATAATTTTCTACGTTTACTGTTTTGAAATTGCATTAATTTAAACTAACTACTTAATATGTTAATGGAACGTGTTTACGAGTATCACATAATACCCTAGCTATATATATTTTATTTCTGTGTTAAAGTTTGTCCGATAATTTTCTACGTTTACTGTTTTGAAATTGCATTAATTTAAACTAACTACTTAATATGTTAATGGAACGTGTTTACGAGTATCACATAATACCCTAGCTATATATATTTTATTTCTGTGTTAAAGTTTGTCCGATAATTTTCTACGTTTACTGTTTTGAAATTGCATTAATTTAAACTAACTACTTAATATGTTAATGGAACGTGTTTACGAGTATCACATAATACCCTAGCTATATATATTTTATTTCTGTGTTAAAGTTTGTCCGATAATTTTCTACGTTTACTGTTTTGAAATTGCATTAATTTAAACTAACTACTTAATATGTTAATGGAACGTGTTTACGAGTATCACATAATACCCTAGCTATATATATTTTATTTCTGTGTTAAAGTTTGTCCGATAATTTTCTACGTTTACTGTTTTGAAATTGCATTAATTTAAACTAACTACTTAATATGTTAATGGAACGTGTTTACGAGTATCACATAATACCCTAGCTATATATATTTTATTTCTGTGTTAAAGTTTGTCCGATAATTTTCTACGTTTACTGTTTTGAAATTGCATTAATTTAAACTAACTACTTAATATGTTAATGGAACGTGTTTACGAGTATCACATAATACCCTAGCTATATATATTTTATTTCTGTGTTAAAGTTTGTCCGATAATTTTCTACGTTTACTGTTTTGAAATTGCATTAATTTAAACTAACTACTTAATATGTTAATGGAACGTGTTTACGAGTATCACATAATACCCTAGCTATATATATTTTATTTCTGTGTTAAAGTTTGTCCGATAATTTTCCACGTTTACTGTTTTGAAATTGCATTAATTTAAACTAACTACTTAGGTGTTAAAAATAAGTTTTAAGAATCACATTGTTTCCTTCTTTTCTCAACTAGATTAGTTAAAAAAAGAACTACTAGTTTCCCATGTGGTATAGTTAAAAAAAGAACTACTAGTTTCCCATGTGGTATAGTAAGCATTCAACATCAACCTCTTTCAAAAGAATTGAAATTATTTTTTTTAAGCTTATTTAAGATAAAAATACCTGGTCCCCGCCTGCCAACTGGAACAACCAAGGTTCATGGCATGTTTTGTGAGATACGGCTCACCATTTTTTTTATTATTAATAGAAGCGTCTAAATAAATAGGAAAAAAATTTCTCCGAATGTTTTTTAAATGCATGAATTCATTTGAAATGCGCACTAAGAATAAAAGTTTTTTATTCCTTAACATGTTTTTTATAAATATTATTTTTCCTAAATTAGGGAGAAATTTTAGAATATTATTCTATGATTAATATAATTTACAGTTTTTGATGGAGATAAAAGTCGAAGACTTGTTTTCTAATGATCGACATTTTGAATTTTATTGCCATATAAAGACACTATTACTTGTATGGTACTAGCCGCCTTCGGTTCGGTGGTTTACTTTTATGTGTACTTTCTGTTGAGGACTGTTAAGGGATTGGAATAACTGTTGAGGAATATTATTTTTAAAACACATCCTGATAAAACGGTACAAAATATCAAAATGAAACTTTTTAAGTCTTTCCATTTATCTGATTAGGAACATTTTTAAATTTGTCAAAATTTTAATTTTTTCCCCATCTACGTCGCAACTTTTTATCTATCATAACTTTCAAATTAGGATAATTATACGTATTATATATTATACGTATTATATATTATACGTATATGCCAACTATGGATGTGACGGAATCAGCCCGAGTCCATACTCCATGCCCGACACGGACTCTAGGTTCATTTACTGAAAAGATATTTCGGGCTAGGATTCATAGTTAAGTTTTCATAAACTTTTTAACAACGTTAAAACAAACGTTTCCGTTATTAAGTATAAAAGTTGTAAAATGTGTAAGGTGTAAAAATTATAGAGATCATTTTTGAGTTTCAGTTGGTTCACTTTTTCTCTTCGCATTTTCTTTCACAAGGTTGTTGATAGAAAAGTTTTTAATTTAGTAATTTCCTTGTTTAGACATCAAAGACCGATCTCAATGTTTGGCCTGTATCTAACGTATGTATATCTCGGGCGGATTCAGGCTCTAAATAATCCTAGGTGTCTCGCTCTTGGGTGGTCTTGGATTAAAATTCTTCGGACTCGGATATCCAAAAGCTTGCCCGAGCTTATCTCTAATGCCAACCATGTATAGATTTCCGCTGCCATAAGCGATCTTTATTTGAATATATTCAAGCTCTGCTTACGTTTGGTATTGTTATTGTATTGTTTTTATTTTTTTTAATAAGGTTTGGATAAAAATTATTAATTTTGATTTCTCTTTGTTTTTAGATTCCCGAAACATCGAGGAGAATCTGCAAGGAAATGTGGATTCTTCACAAATTCCAAACCTCTTCGGTAATCACAGCAATGCCAATAATGCCAACCCTGCCAATGCTAACAACAACAACACCAACAGCCGAGTCAACAACCACAGTGGGCAAATGCCACCGTTGCAGGTCCCCAAAAAGAGCATGCTGCCTCAAATGGGGCCACCGCAGGACTCAGTGGCTATGGGCCCCATGCCCACAAAAATGTCGCCCCAGCATCAGAATCCGAACGACTTAAATCCTAGTGCCAATGGCAACACTGGAAGGAAGTACCAATGCAAGATGTGCCCGCAGGTAAACTCTTAACCTAACCTATCCTAAATTCAAATTATTGTATTTATATTATTTACATTCGCCTTACTCGTCCTATTACTTCATTTATCCATTGTAAGAAAAAAGAACTTGTACAGGGTGTACCATATTGCCTAATTGAAAAAAAAGATGAAAGTTTTACCTGCTAATTTGCAGTCGAAACAATTATAAATAATCTCACCCTCGCCCTATATTTTCTTGTTGATTCAACTTAATTTTGCCATTTTATTTGAAGCTGTTTGTTTTACAAACTTTCATATGTGTCGTTAGCTAATTGAATATTCCTTCTCACTTCAAATTGCCACAGGCTTTTTGCTGTGCGCCCTGTTGAGTGGAAAAGTCTCCGGTATTTTCTAATCCGCCTAACTATTCAGGCTAAACCGTCAGGCCACGTTATTCAGGCTAAAGTATGTTTATTCATTGCTGATTTAGCCGTTTTTATTTTAGTCAGTTTGCTATAAGTCCAGGGCAGGGAGGACTTATTCTGAATAGTCTTATTGCAACGTACCCTCATCGTATCTTATTCACTAATATATTTATTGTTTATCTTAGGACTTAGTCATAGAGTAATTCTTCGCACATTTCATAATCAGATCAAAGGCATAACGTAATGATCTTAAAAGAATATTAATCAAGTTAAAAATAACCGAAGACATTGTTTTCAACAAGCCCGGTACGTTTCAAAGAAACCATGTTTTCTTATACTTCATATACTTAATTTTGACAACAGTTGTCAATCCAAGACTTTTGATTCGCTTGAAACCTGTAAGATCAATTAATTGCGAACAGCATTTTTGTAACTGGTTTGTGAACATTTCTGTAAGTTGACTATTTGTAGTGGTTATCTACCTAATTCCCAGTAAATTGATTATAAGCTTTCATAGGTTTGGATATGTTTACAATACTTCCACATATCATAATCACCTGTACCTATTCCATCTACTCATGTTCAGCATATTGATCACGAACTTGTAGCAACGTATTTAGTCATCATCACAAGAGTAAAATGAGGGGATTGGAATTATGAAGAATTATTATCCATAACTACAGGATCTCAAGGAAATAACCTATAGATTAGACGAATAATATTTAACTCCTGTATCAATCCTCCAAAATATCTTCAGGAATCATTTATATTTATCTATCACTCCTTCTGTGGTGTTTATTAGATTTTTCTTCTTCTAAAATTTGCTCGTGTATTTTTTACTTATGTATTTCTGATTTAAATAAGGCGATCGAATCACTAAATAAGTCTTAAATGTTCGGAATCAATTACTAGCAGCTTCTGAAAAAGAAATTATGTGGACCCGCGTTTGGTACGTTAATTAAAAAAAACAACAACATAATTTTAGTTAAATAGTTTCGTTAAAATTACATATTTTATAGTCTTAATCAAAAATTATTTTGTCATGGTTAAAAATGAATCGGATATTTTTTATAATTTCATCAAGATGGAGTGTTTTGCACCTTACTATCGTTCTCATTTTCTGCAACTTACATATTATATAACTTACGCTGTTAATTTGAAGACATATCTTAGTAACTTATATTATAGTAAAGCAAGATTCAATTTAAGTGTTGAAGTTGCAACAAATTTGCACTGTATTATGATCCAATGTACCAGTATATTGGATCATTACACCAACTTTTAATGATCCATTGCAAGTTATTTTTATGGTACTTTTACCCTTTAAAATAACTTGGAAAGTGCAGCCTTACAAATTAAGTACCAAAATAAGTATATGATTGTTATTTTTATTTCCTAATTTAGTAACTGCTAGACGCTTTAAAAAATCATTAAATTTATGTATTTTTGTTTTTAAATTGATCGCATAGATATAAATGTCGTTGTTACATTAGTTCGATGATAGCTTTTCGTAATATAATAACTGAATTTTTGGGAAAATAATTTTTAATAATTACATTCGAAAAATATTTACTTCTAAAATTTTGTTCTACGTAGTTAAAATGTGCTACAATGGATAACACTTCTAGTGGGATTAAATTTTTCAAAAATATTTTTATAGTTAAATTTTTTATGTTAATAATATGAAATATTTAGCTGGTCTGTTAGAATACGTTATAAAAAGTGAAGTTTTTAAAAATTGTATTATTTTTTTTAGTACATTAATGAAGAGAAAATAATTCAGACTTGTAGCATTACTTTTTATTTATTTATTTTTCAAATTTTTTTTTAATATTTAATTTGTCGTGTGTTGCGTTTATTTGCTTATCATTATTTTTAAGTTAATATTGACTTTGTCTTTAGTGAATTAATCCAATATTTACCTTTCTATTTCTTGAAAAATAAATAACTAAGTAAAAAAGAAAATAGCTGTTTAAAAGGAAGCATTTCTTTTTTTCCCTGAAAGTTAGAAGAAAGGAATATTAATCATCTTTTAATTTTCTATATGCGAAAGGGTACCTTCCAATATAGTGTTATGTTTATTAGTCAATATACTTTGTACGATGTGAGTAATTAAATACGAATTACAATATAATTTTCAAAGCATTTTTCATTTATTATGTTTATTTGAAGAACTATAATAATAATATTCGCTGAATAATATAATTATAATTTGAGTTGTTGGATAGGTTTCGTTGAAGATAGTTTAAAAACATGTTTACTTAAAATGTGGATTGTGTATGCTCTTCTTATTAACTCATAAAAAAAAATTGGTTACTGCATTGCATGGTAATAACATTTCTGGTAAAAAAAAAAAACGTAATTCTGACTAATAAAACCAAATTATATGGAATTTAAACCATTCACTTGGTAATTGTTTAATTGTTTCGTTCATATAGTAACGGTTTACCCAAATTCTGGTTTCCAAAACTATAGCTCTTAATTCTGCACATTCATAAAAAATAAAAAACTGAAAGGTAAATTTAACCGAATAAATGATTTTTATGCCATGCTCTAAGGTACTAATAAAATTATAAAAAATTTTCTCATATTATTAAGTTATATTTTATCGTAAATTTTACCGAAATCATTAAAGCGCTTCGGTAAAAATTACCGAGATTTTTTAGTGTTCCGGTAAATCCAGAAACACGTTAAATTTTACCATATTTGTGTCTGGCAGTTTCAGTGTAGGGCTCCGGAAGAAAATTAAAAGGGTTTCTAGAATTAGGACTTTTTCAACACATGATGAATTTTAAAACCTTTTTTTATATTTATACCTACTCAATCCATTATTTCTTTAATATTTCGGTTGCCTGTTTCAAGTTATTTAAAATGTAACGCCACTAAAAAAATATTGCATATATTTTATACAAAAAATTGCGTGCGAATTTTCCCTCGTGCTTTTCAACTCAAAATAAAATTACTAAATTCGTTACTAATAAGAATGCTTCTCCAACAAACTTTTATAGCCTGGGATAGCTTAGTTGGTAGGGCGTTGGATCCATGTCCAAGAGGTCGTGAGTTCGATCCAAAGACTTCCCGTGTAGTATATAGTGACTGATGCCCGTTAAATCTGTCGGGTTACAATGTCCTTCAAGTTCCCATGACAAATCAATACCACTTGAGTTTGATCGCTGTCTGGTTCAAGTCAAACTTACAATATACGGATGAAATAATGGTTCCACTCTTTAAAACAGGCTGTGACGTGTGTGTGGCTGAAGTCGTATTCTTGGCCATGGATGGTGCCACTGAAAAATAAGAAACGCTCCCTCTGCCTTAAATTAACTTGGTTTCACCAAGCAGTCTTGCTGGTATATCAAGTGGCATTAGAAACAACAACAAAACCATTTCTTTTTAGTTTTTTATTTTAAAGAAGAAAAAAAAAAGGATTTGACTTCTTTTACTCATTTTCAGCTTGTATATATTCACCAAACACAAATTTATAATTAGACTAGATACAGTTCTAGGACTGTGAATTTATTATCGAATATAAACCCTCATTTGTGAATAAGAAAAATAGTGAAAGGAATAGAATTTTTTAGTTTTAAGTATTTTCAAAATGAAGTCTTTTATTGGTTAATTCGTTCACAATTTTCTTTTTATACTATACTGTAAAGTGGGGGTTTCTCTGAAAAAGATTGATAATCTAAAGTTCCATAACCTAGAAAAAATTGAAACCTCTGCTCCAACGGTCTGATTTAAAACATTCTCGAATTCTCTGCAATCAGTAATTAATACTGACATGTATTTTTAATTTGCGTTTTTGTATTGTTGTGGAACTTATACACATTTTGTATTTTTTTAAAAAAATTATGTTTTCCCTTTTTTCTCTCTCCTTTTTTAGAAATTTAAAAAGATCTTTTTACATAAAAACGATGATAAAAAATCAAAGTACTATAGTATTAACAACGTTGATTTTTATCGAGAAAAGTATATCGTGGTTTTTAGTACTTTATTAGATTTCACACGCAATTTTTTTCCAAAATCATCTGTCAATATCGGTAACAGAAATATTCGAACTTTATTTTAATAAATTTTTTGATTTTTTTTCTTTTTAATAAAGCACTATATAAATCTCATGGAATATTTTTTTTAAGAATCCGAATTATCCTTTTTGCAACTTTTGCAAAACTTTTTTAGGTCCCTTTTTTTCTGTTGACAATCCAAATAAGAAATTTACTTAAACATTTTTCATTATCTTTTATTTGTTAATTTTTTTATTTGTAATATTGGATGATTTTTGAGCTAAATATCTGAAACAAAAGTGTTGCTATATGATTAATTTTTTTTAAAAAAAAGTGAAGTTTTGAAGAATCGGTTGTATTAAGTTTGAGTTTCATTTATTACCGATTCTTAAACTCGGTTTTGAAAAAAAAATGAATTAAATATTTGATGGTAAAACAGTCAACAGTTTTTGCACATTTCTTATAGTCAAAATATTCGGAAACTTATGTTATTTTAGGTATAGGTTATTTAGGTAACATAATATGTTATTTTAGGCTTGTCAAATAGTTAAAAAATAAAAATTAAGTTAAATAAGGAAAATATGCACTTTAAGAGTTTCAAATTAATATTT